TTCCAGCCCTTTGACATCACCAGCTCTGCATGCCCAGACCGACCCCCTTGCCATGTTTGATCAGTTACACAGCGTCGTGAGCACAAGTTCTCCCGTCGATATGGAAGTGGACCCGTCGTCCTCTGGGCCTACCATATCAAACACGACACCTGGTGATCTAGCCAAGAAAATGCGAAAAAATGCGGCCAAGGCGAGGACCAAAGGCGGCATCAAGCAGTCACCAATCTCAAAACCTTTGCGCAGGAGGACTACAACCACTCCTAGCTTGAACGCTCAGGTGCTGAGTGAGCTTGCCGAAAGTGCTGAACGCAACCAAGATCCCCAGTTACTGCCCACGCCCATGATGCAGACTTCTTCCTCTTCTACTACAGGGGTGACCGATTCCGAGGACTCGGTCTCTCCCGAAGCGTTGAACGACACGACTCCGGTCGATATGCCCCCACCTCCGATACCCAAATCACGATCTGCGAGGCCGTCCCCGTATATCGCGCCGCAGGCCAGTGCGGTTCCCAGTTCTCTACAGCCTCCACGGCCGGGCATCGCGTCCCCTGCGACCCCCGCGTCGTTGATGAAACTTAACTCACCGAGTAACGGCAGCGCGGGCGCGAGAGCCGATAGCCAAGAGGCCATCGAAACCGACCAGATCGAAACCTTCGAGCTCCCGGAGTCGGCCAACTTTTTGAATAGGACCACACCATCATCCAACAATGCCCCGACGCCAACGCAGTCCTCCCAAGACAGGGGTTCCTCAAAAACACCTCATTTGGCACCTATTGCCTCGCCCTCTCTCGCAAAACCGTCTGGGACCTCATCCGTGACGCAAAGCCCGCAGCTGCTCGCCGGGTCCGGATTTAGCTCCAGAAAAACACCCCAGCTTCTCCCAAGGGGGAGCAAGAAGCGCGGGAGCGTCAGCTCGATCCCAGTGTCACCCGCTCTTCGGCCCAAGATCTCGCCCAGCATCAAACCCCTGCTCCCGGGCGGCCCCGACGTGGAAGAGGCCGCCTCGCACCTCCTCGCCACCAAATCAAACTACCAGCGCATCCTCGAGGGCAACACCCTCCCCGGCGTCTCGTACCCGAGCGAACTCTCCACCAACCTCACCTCGAAACGCACGTCGCACAAGATCGCCGAGCAGGGCCGCCGGAATAGGATCAACTCGGCCCTGCTGGAGATCGCCACCCTGCTGCCCCGGCCGCCCAAGGACAGCGAGGGCGAGGGCAGCGACTCGAAGAAGGACAAGGATAAGGGCGGCGGCACGGCCCCCAACAGCAAGGCGAGCACCGTCGAGATGGCTATCGAGTATATCAAGCAGCTGCAGCAGGAGGTTGTGGAGGCGAATCGGCGGGCTGAGGAGGCGGAGAAGAGGCTGGAGCGGAAGGGGGGTGGGGAGGCTGCTGGTGCGTAGGTGGTGTTGTAGGGGGTGGGGGTCTGGAGGGTTGTGGGGGGGGAGGGTGTAGGCTTACGTTTGGTATGGGTTTGGTTGGTTGGGGTGGGCATGGTAGGATTGATTGGGTTGGGGGGATGTGTGGGGTGGGAACGGAAAAGTAAAGATGGCGTTTTAGGAGGGATATAATAGGCTCATGTTTGTTTAAGACCCGCGAGGGCAGACGCCATGGTGTTGTTTCTAAGCGGGACAGGGACTTGCCTCAACCATCCTAGGGACCCGGACACTCAACTGTGTAGGACTGTGGGATATTCTTTGGTATGGGGACACATATACACATATACGAGCAGATGAAGCGGAAATACCCAGGGGATGGAAATAGAAAATCATGTTGGAGCACTCTCCTAGCCCGGTTAAGACGACTATTCTGGATGCTGTTTTAAACTGGATTGGTTGTTCCAGACTTATTCATACAGAGCTTAGGTCGTTTGGGGCAGTTGGTTTGACGAGCTTCTAGTGGCAATAATTATGCGTTGCTCTCAGTGTTCAATCAAGTGGTAGAATTGCAGATTGGAGCGTTATTATTTGTTACCTAACCATGCATCGACGACTCGTTGCGAAGTAATAGGTGGTGTCAGAAAGAGAAATGTGGCTGGTGCCGCTTGACATTTGGCCCACGCCACAGTTGCTTGGCAAAACGTTCTGTTGCCACCCGGCCAACCAACAAAGTTCCGCTTTCGTCACCCTGTTTCTGCCAGATTGTTTTGTCGGCTTGCTTGCGCTTACCCACTTGAGCAACAATCAACACCAAAACTTTTTTTTTCCCCATCTCATCCCCCTCCCACTTTTCATCTCCTTATCGATTTGCCATCTCGCGATCTGCCACGTCTCATTGCAGAACCGAGACGACCCGCAGAAGCTTGTGCACCGTGCAGCTGCACGCGTTCAAAATACGTCACAACAAGCGGGCCACTGCTCCCACCTAAGCTGGCCTGGGAAGCTCTCGGCGCATCCGGCCTGGCCCCCTCTTGAGACCGCATCAGCCGTCTTCGAAGCTGCGGTTTCACATCCTTCTTTTTTATCGCCCTGTCCTCCGTCATCCCCTATCGCCACCATGTCGGACTCAGAGAGCGCCGATTATCTGCAACCGGACTTCGACCCGTGGTCGCTGACCGTCCCGCGCTTGCGCTCTATTCTCGTCACCCACAACATCCATTATCCCTCCCAGGCCAAGAAGCCCCAGCTCATCGATATCTTCAACGACCAGGTCCTGCCACAGTCGAAACAGATCTTGGCTACCCGCGCCCGCGCGAAGCGCACGAGCAGAGGCATTGTGGATGCCGACTCCCAGAGCACTACAAGCACCGAGCTCAACGATGAGGCAATGCCGCCGCCGCCGCCTTCCACGAGGCGGTCTCGGTCGCCTAGGAAGGTGACTAGGGTGAAACGCGAGTCCGAGGAACCCGACTACACGCCCGCCACACCCGCGCCGCTTAGGGAAAGCCCCCGCAAGAGGCAATCGCGGTCTACGAGTGCTCAATTGCAACCCGCATCCGACACCGATACAGGCCCCGATCTCGAGCCGCCTCGGTCGGTGAGACGCGACCGGCGCATGACCCCGGTCCCTAAGTTGGAGCCGCCAGAGGAGGAAGAGACCTTTTTTAAGCAGACACCCCAGACCGCCAGCGTCTTCAGCAGCGATAATCCGTTCCAGAGCGGGACCAACTCGCCAATGTCTCCCCTAAAGACCCCCACCAACCGCCGCAAGACATCCGGGTTAGAGTCTTTGCTTCGACAAACGCCCTCCACTGCTCGCCGTCGGACGGATGGGTATGCCTTCGTTGACGAACAAGAGCCTTCTACCATCTCGCGGGATATTGAGATACCTCTCGGGCGGGTCCCAAGGGCAATCACACCTGAGATCGAGGCTGATGAGGAGTTCACTCCTGATGAGCAACTTGCGCTCACCCAGGAAGAGGCCGCTCACCCCGAAGTGGCTCTTGCCCGACAAGCCCCGCAACCTACCAAGCGCGGTTCGAGTCTGTCGACCCCGTTTTGGGTCCTCGTCACAACTCTCCTCGTTGCCTACGGGGCCTGGTATAGGCAAGAGAAGATGGCAGTGGGGTACTGTGGGCTTGGCCGGCAACCAACCCAGCTCATCCCCACAAGTATCCAACTTCCGGAGTGGGCTGTCGAATTGGGCGCCAAGTATGATCTCGGGGACATTCAGAGTGTCCAGGTCCCCGATTACCTGACCGGTGTTTTCGAGCCGCAGTGCGAACCCTGCCCGCCGCATGCGTACTGCTACGAGGACTTTACAGCTCGGTGCGAACCTGATTTCATCCTGAAGCCCCACCCACTTTCCCTCGGCGGCCTCGTTCCTCTACCGCCTACGTGCGAGCCTGATGGTGAGAAGGTCCGGCGTGTCCAGGCCGTCGCCGACAAGGCCGTTGAGGAACTGCGTGAACGGAGGGCCAAGTACGAGTGTGGCGAGCCCCTCGAGCCCGAGGGTGAGCCTCTAGACAGCCCCGCCATGGAAGAGCAAGAGCTAAAGGAGATCCTCAACAAGAAGCGCAGCAAGAGAATGGCTGCTGATGAATTTGACGAGCTGTGGAGCGCTGCCATCGGCGAAGTCAAGGCCAGAGAAGAAGTTGAGGTCAAGCAGGAGGAACCCGAGGCCCCGGCGTAAGTGTCCCAGTCCTCATTATTTACTCCTTTCCGACCCAGACCCAGCCTGTCATTTTTACGTCTTGTTGTCTTCACACATCCAGTTTCTGACCATAGGACTAACCAGACCCGTCGCTGGACCCATAGAACCGGAGATCCCTCCGCCTTTCCAACTACCAAACTATCGTCCACCTCTCTCGCTAGCCTTTCGTACTCCTGCGCGCTCCGGCGGTCGGTCAAGCTCGGAGTGGCTCGACATCGACTCAGCATTGGTGGAGTGATCTTCTTGATTTTGTCCATGCTTTACGGCCGCCGCCGCTTCATTGACAACCGCGCCCTGGCGGCGCAGATCCCGGCCCTGGTGGACGAGGTCCTCGACCGTCTCGCGAGCCAGAAGGAAGTCGCTTTCGAAACCGGCGACGACGACGCTTTCCTCTTCCTGCCGAACCTACGCGACGACGTACTACGCTCGCTGCACAGTCTGGCGGACCGCGAGCGCCTCTGGCAGCGCGTGCGCGCCGTCGTCGAGCAGAACAGCAACGTCCGCACGGGCCAGCGCGAGGGCCGCAACGGCGAGGTGGGGAGGGCCTGGGAGTGGATAGGCCCCAGCCGGCTCGGCGCCGGCGACGGTTCGGCATCCCGTCACCGCAAGGGCGCCCGTGTCTCGTGGGGCCCGGACGTCAAGGGGGAGGCGGAGGATAGGCCGGCCCCGGACGCGCTGGAGCGCAAGGCTGTCCATCGGAAGTGGGAGGAGGGCCGGCCTATTTACTAATAATCGTGGCGAGGATATCTCCCGTCCGAGGCCCTACCTTCTTTTGTGGTCTTATTTGTTCCCCTGTATTTACTTGTCTAATCAATCCGGTTTGGAACTGTCTGGCTTGGTTACATTACCTCTGAATGGTGGGAGATGGACGTTGGCGGAGGAAGAAGAAGTGGTGGCTGGCGAGATGTGCCTGTTCTTCACGTTTTTCTTTTCTCGTACCTGCTCTCGACTTTCCTCTGTGTGTTGGTTTTCTGGGTTATGGAGAGGAGATCCGGGGGGAGTGGCGTTTCGGGCTGCCCGGGGATGCAAGCGCACGCTATGTATTCTCTTTGTTGACTGATACCATTACTCCGAAGTGAGGGGTTGGCATACACACATAAGACTGACTGAAATTGCATACCGGATCCAACTGTCACATGCTCGATGAATTGATGTGAGAAGGTGATGGGGTGAAGCTGCTAAAGAAGAAATACTTGCTTCCCTTTCATCTCATCATATCTATTTCACTCGCCAACACATTCATCTTCTCACCATTGAACATGCTGCTGGCTTGACTGACTGATGCTTCAATTTTCTCTATCCAAAATCTCACTCTCTCCGTCTCTCTCTAACCGACTGCCAACTCCCACCCACCCACACATACACACAGACACACAAAATACTCAGCTACTCCTGGTATTGTGAATATCCAGCACCAAGATATCCGTGGCGCCCACCTGGACGAGCTCGTCCATGACGGGGGCGATGCGCTTGGTCTCGACCATGGCGCTGACGGCGACCCAGCCCTCCTCGTCGAGCGCCGTCACGGTGGCCGCGCGCTTGCCCGGCGTCACCCGCGTCGCCTCCGCCAGCTTGGCCCGCGGCACGTTGTACTGGCACAGCACGAACCGCTGCGCCGTGATCACGCCCCGGATCCGGGAGGCGATCAGCTCGACCAGCGACGGGTTGCTTGGCGCCTTGGACTTGATGAGGATGGCCGAGGTTTCTACCACTGTGTCGATGGCCTTGAGGCCGGCCGCTTTCATTGTTTCGCCGGATTCTGGGGGAGGGGGTTAGTTTGGTCGGGGGTTGTGGTGAGATGCCCGCGGTTGACTGGAAGAGTTTGGGGAGGGGAGAGTGAGGTGAGTGAGAGGGTTGGCAAGCACTCACCAACCAAATCCACAATACCATCCGCCACGCCCAGCGCGCAGGCGGCCTCGACGCTCCCGCTGAGCTCGATGATCTTGGTGCGGAGCTTCCTCCCCTCGGCGCGGACCGGGTCCGTGATGCCCTCCTGCTCGAGCTCGAGGCGCGTAAAGTACTCGTGCGCGAGGTGCACGAAGCTGGTGCCGATATTCTTCCCGATCAGATCCTTGCCCTCGGCGTACTCGCCCTTAGCAGGCACCTGGACTTGCAGGCGGCAGGCGCCGAAGCCGAGATCCAGCACGGTCTCGCAGCCGTGGGGCTTGCCGCGGTTGGGGTCCCACTCGTTGCTCATGCGGCGCGCCCGCGCGAGCGCCCGGGTGCCGGCATCGTGCTCCTGCACCTGGTCGTAGCCCGTGATGCCCAGGTCGACGCGGCCTTCGCCGACGAAGGTGGGGATGTCGGCGGCGGGGAGGAAGACGAGGGCGATGGGCAGGTTCTTGACGAGGGCGATGTCGAGGCGGTTCTCACGCTTGAACTGAATGTCGGCGCCTTCAAGGATGTTCAAGGCCGCTTGGAGAAGGCGACCCTCTTGAGGTTGGGGGTCAGCATTCGGGGGTTCCAGGAAGTGAGCTCCAACGAGGGAGCTATTGTGGGCGGAACACACTTTTGGGTACTGCGAAGAGCAGCCGGCCTTCTAGGCTTCCGAGGGGCATCAGCTCTTGAGCCATGATAGAGGGGAGTTTGAGTTGCCGCTGCCGGGAGAGAAGGAGAGGGGAGGAGGGGGCGGCATGGGGGGCAGCTGGGGAGATGGCGGGAGAGGTAGGCAGGTATATGGGGGAAGAGGGGGGTTAACTAACTGGTTGACCAGATCCATGGTGGTCTAGGTAGGGGACACGGAACGGAGGAGTTGTCAAATTAACTCAAGGTAGGATGGCGTGGATATGGCGCAAGCAGACTGCAGGACGGGTACACCCCTAGGTCGGATATTATCAGCGCAACTGTTTAGGTAGAGGATGCGCATTAGATGCGGCAGAAGGATGCCGGGTCGGTAATGGAGGGGTAGAAAGTTTGCGACGAGAAGGTGTAGATTAATGGTTCCCCCACGTACGCACTTACCTCTTTGTAACACAGAGGCTATTCCTGGTGACTCAATTGCGTGATATGTATGGTATTTCACTGCCTACGGAGAGGGGAGGTGAGTCTTAAGTCGCCGCAGAAACTGAAGCAAGGGAGTTATCGCGGGCCGCAACACCTCCTACGTTGGTTCGAACTGTCGAGTCAGAGGGGTCGATTTTTTGGATGGCCCACGTTCCTAGATCGGAGTGCTGTCAATGGTGCCCCGCGTCGACCATGGTGGGGTAACCCGCATCTCGCGTCGTTCCGTGTTTCTGTGCGAGGAACTCAAGACCCGCAATTCCGCGGAAACGGAGAGGACCTTGTAGGTTTTCGTATTACCACCCCCAAATGCCCGCGACTACTTATCAGGGACATATTACTAATGAGGCGGACTACTTCGTACTTCAAGAGCGACGGAATCTTCCCTTTGCCAACACTGTATTGGACACCCGAATTGAGCAACGGGCCGGGGCGCAACTTCGTGAGACAAACTCAAAATCGTTGTGGTTCATGCAGTTGAAGGACCTAGAGAGAGATTTGATACTCGCATAACTACCTACCTTAGGTAGGTAGGTACGATGTATTGCAGCACAGCCCAGTTTCGCAGTTGGGAATCTTGCGCTCCATGTTTTAACCCCCCAGCTTCTCTTCCTTGGAGATTCTGACCGACAGCCCAATGTGTGAATGTGTGTCAAACAGAGAGCCAAGCCTCCTCCTTGCTTCCCAGTATAACTAGTTAGTTAGTTACGGGGTTGCCCCATCTCTTACCTAACCAGCGGCCCTGGCGAGACTGGGTACCACAGCGGCCCCTATTCGCAGTGGGCCTGCCGCGCAGCTCTGGGCCCTCGGGCTGGCTTGGCACCACGGCGTTGATGCAATGGCCCACCAAAAAGATAGATAACAGCTGTGCAGTGTTTCCAGACTCACTCAGCCATCTGTCCTGTCCTGTCGCATATCCTACCACTCGCTTCCCATCGTTTTTTGTTTTAATCCATTTTTCGTCACTCGTTGTACCTGTACATATCCATTCAACCACCCGCCGTAACACAACTGAACTCGATCCGTGTCTAAGCAAATCGCACATCGCAATCAGCCAGCAGCTTGTCGCAGAAAGCCAGACCATCCGCGATTGTGCCCTTGTGCTCGTGTGCCCAATCCCGTACGATGATTTTGTCCGAGCAGGTGCTACTACCGATGTCTTGATATGGTGAGGAATCTGTCCTTCGCTATTTTATGTACTCTCTCGTCGTCTGCCGGCACCAACGTTGGCTATTGACGAGCTGCCGAGGCAAGGCAGGTTGTGCTAACACAATCCTCATGGCAGACGATATAACGGTCCGATCGCATTCGACCACACGAGCTTCGAGGCTCTTCGCACCGAGCAGTAGCTGCGCACACGGGACGCACAGTCGTTTGACCAGCGAATCGCCCGAAACCCGGACCCGAAATACTGAGAGGCCACCCCTCGACGATATCGGGAGCTTTTATAGTTGGAGCCCGAACAATCAGGGTCACGACAACAACTTTGGTCACGGTGGCAGCGCCTACGGTAGTCAGTCTGACGACGGCGACAGCGACCTCTTGAAGATGTCGACATGGTCAGGGCAGCCGAGGGTGGAGGGGAGCTCCGAGACGATGCGCATGGTGTTGTTGACCTGCGTCTCCATCGGTATTACGTCCGTGCATGTACACTACATTGACATGAAGCATGTAATTGCTGACTTGTTGACTGTAGCTTCACCTGGGGTGTTGAGATGACATGTACGTGCCCGTTGCCCAACCTCAAAATGTTAACCTCGCGCTAACACCGCATGCGCAGACTGCACGCCATACCTTCTCTCGCTTGGCCTGTCGAAAGGGCAAACGTCGTTGGTTTGGGTTGCGGGCCCCCTATCGGGCTTGATTGTGCAACCCATAATAGGGGTCATTGCAGATGAGTCGACGTCAAAATGGGGCAGGAGACGACCTATTATCGCCATCGGCTCTGTCATTGTTGCCCTCAGCCTGCTGGCCCTGGGTTTCACGAAGGAGCTCGTTGCGTCCTTCATCTCAGACCCCGATACGGCGCGGGTATTGACCATCATGATGGCTGTCTTGTCGCTCTACAGTGTCGATTTCTCCATTAACGCAGGTGAGAGATCACACGCACCCCTGCCCTAGCTTTCTTGTGCCACTAAAATCAAATTCTCAGTCATGTCCTGCGCGAGAAGTCTGCTTGTAGACACCTTGCCCATCCATAAGCAGCAAACTGGCGCTGCCTGGTGTACGCTCCCTTCGCCGTCCTTTTGGCGACTTTATCAATGCTGACATCGTTATTAGCTAGCCGCATGAACTCCCTGGGGCACATCATCGGCTATGCCATGGGAGCATTGGACCTCGTCCAGATCTTTGGTCCGAGGCTCGGGGATACCCAGTTCAAACAACTCACCGTCATTGCTGCCCTGGGCATGCTGCTCACCTCGGGTATCACCTGCTGGGCTGTCACGGAGCGTATTCTTGTCTCGGTGCGGCACGACCCTCGGCGGGCCCAGGGTCGTTTCAAGGTCGTTCGACAGATTTATTCCACCGTGCTGACCCTTCCCCCCCGTATCAGGGGCATCTGTAACGCTGTGTTTTGGTCCTGGATCGGCTGGTTCCCATTCATTATCTACAGCAGCACCTGGGTCGGCGAGACTTACTTCCGTTATGATGTCTCGCCCAACGCCAGGGACTCGAACGATGCTCTGGGTGACATGGGCCGTATTGGGAGCATGGCTCTAACCGTGTACTCGACTGTCTCTTTCATCAGCGCTTGGATTCTCCCCGCTCTGATCCAGGCCCCGGAAGACGAAACCTTCACGCACCGCCCGCCCGCCAGCCTCGCCCCCTTCATCGAGACATTCAACAAGGTCAAGCCGGACTTGCTGACCGCGTGGATCGCCAGCAACGTGCTCTTTTCTCTCGCCATGTTCTTCACCCCCTTTGCGACCTCGTTCCGTTTCGCCACCATAATCGTCGCCTTCTGCGGCATCCCGTGGTGCGTCTCGCAATGGGCCCCGGTCACATTCCTCGGCGTAGAAGTCAACAAGATCAGCGGCTCCTCCGACGCCGGTCCGACCATCCGCCCCACCTCCCGCCGCCGTTCCAACGACACCAGCAGCATCGAGATGCTCCGCCTCGAGCACGGCGCTGCCGCAGACGGCAGCCTCCTCGAAGCCGGCACCACACCCACCTCCGCCGGGGCGCACAGCTCGACGGGCGAGCTGAGCGGCATTTATTTCGGCATCCTCAACATCTACGTCACCATCCCTCAGTTCCTCAGCACCATCATGACCGGCGCCGTCTTCGCCCTGCTCGAACCCGGCAAGAGCCCCGAGCTGGCCGCCGAGGCCCACCCGGCCGAGCAGAGCGACCCCTCGGGCCCCAACGCCATCGCCGTGTGCATGTTCCTCGGCGCGCTGAGCTCCCTAGTTGCGGCGTGGTCGACGGCTAAGTTGAGGGGGTTGTAATAAGAAGGGAAGGAAAAAAGGGAGGGGAGGGAGGACAAAATGGAAGGAGAGCGTGGGCATGGGTTGACTATGTAGTAGGTAGGTAGGGAGGTAGGTAGTAGAGGGAAGACGGTTAGTTGATAGATACGGGAAGGGTTGGGCTAAATGAATGGGGATACTTAGGATTAGAACCGATGAGCGCGGCGTTGGAGCGGCCGATTTTTCTGGCGAGTTTTCTTTCTTCTCAGTCAAGCATGTTGTATCTCATCGCGATGGTTTCATTCCCTTGGCCTGTGGCAACCTGTCGGCTCTATTTCACTCACAAAGACTTGTATGTATATAGACTATTTCGCTGTATCATAATCCTAGAGGCTCTTGTCCTTTTTAACCTGTACTCGCTGACGAAGAAAGTGGTGACCTGACGGCAAATGCTCTCCCGCGTCTTCTTGAGCTAGGCGAGCCCCTCCCACGAAGCCGGCCAGAGGATACCAAGTGACGCAAGAACACCATAATTATAATTTCCTCCCCATATGTATAAGTCTTATCCATTCTTCCTCGCCTCGCCCAAACCAGATAGGCATCTGGAATAATCCAAATCATGAATACCGCAACCCGACGCCAAAACACGAAAAGGAGTGTGCCAGGATGTAGAGGAAAACAGGAGACCCAAAGTCCGCTCCCGTCTTTCTTCTCATGCTCATTTCTACCCCTTGATGTGCCCATGCAGATGTATTTGCCCGAGTGTATTGAAAAAGAAAAGAAGAAAGAAGGTAAAAAAAAAGCGAAAAAAAAAAGGAAGAAGATTTGTTGTGGCGAGCCCCTGGCCTATGTTGAGCGGCGGGATGCTGGTTTGCGAGGATGGTCGACCTCAACCCTAACGTTTTGTTTTGAGAAATCGAGTCATGACAGTATAGTCGGCGCCGCCGAGGTATCCAAAAGCTCGCCTCGAGCGGGGGAGAATGGAAAATAGAGAAAAGAATTACCGCCCATGGCCATCGATCATCTTCGCCGATGAAGAACCAACCCGCCACCCCACGCGGGTTCAGCTGGGCCGCGAAGCGTGTGTCGACGATGGCCGTATTAAACCATTACCCAAGTCCAATCCGCCGGCCCTTGCCACGTCGAATATTGGATTTGTAACCTCGACCTCTTTCCCCACCGCGCACCTCCTCACATTACAATGCACTCCTTGGAGTCATTCTCCCCACCGCTCTTCCTGACCTTAGCATTCCGAGGCGGCGCGACGTCCATTGGCGTTCCTCCGCTAATGGCTGCGCGGATGGCGGCAAGGCGCTGCTTCGCACGATCATCGCCCGCATCGGCGGCTTTGACGTACCAGACATTGGCTTCGAGGATATCCCTGCGGCATCCGATGCCCATCTCGGTGAAGTACCCAACAGCGTACTGCGCTTTGACGTAGCCTAAACATTCGAACACCCTTTGGTTAGCATTCTGTTTGTGGCGGCGCGCCAGGCTGGCAAAACTCACCCATCTCAGCCGACCTCCGTGCCCATTCGTAAGCTTCCTCTTCGTCCTTGTCCAAGACGGGTTCTGCGCCGACCATATACCAAGCGCAGAGGCCCATCATAGCCGCGGCGTGACCGCGTTCCGCAGCACCCGTGTAGAAGTGCACGCTCAGAGCCGGGTCCCTCGGGCAGTTCAGCTTGCCGTGCTCGTACGCGTCACCCATCCTGTAATTCGCCTCGGGATGACCCAAGTCTGCGGCCTGAGTGAACAACTCGGCGGCGTAGTTCTCGTCCAGGAAGACGTCATCGCCATATCCGGTTTCGTACAAGCACCCGAGGTGGTACGGCGCAGCGTTGTAGATGGCGTCGGCCGCTTCGGAGGCCAGCTTTAGCCACTTGACGCCTTCCCTGTACCGCTTCTCTCCAAGATCGCCAGACAAACAAGCCTTTCCCAGCCTCGTCATGGCGCCCGGGTGCCTCTTGGCCGCCGCAGTGCGGAGGAACTGCACGGCCTTGGTAGGGTCTTTGCGGCACCCCCAGCCGAATTCGTAACACAGAGCGGTGCGGTACCCGGACTCGGCGTGGCCATGCTTGGCAGCGAGCACAAAGAGTGGGAACGCTGAGTTGTAATCCTCCTTTCCTTTGCTAAACAAGCCCGAGGCGTAACCATCGGCAAGGTAGTATTGTGCAAAAGGATAGCCATTGTTGGCCAGCTTTTGCAGAATGGCACGAGCCTCCCGTACCAGGTCGTGCGAAGATGACGGGGGAGCTTCTCCAGGGGCGGACTTCGGACTCTTCGTCCTCTTGGTATCTTGGAAATCCAACCCTTGTTCCTGTGCGGTGGCGATGAGGAAGACGGCGAAGGAGTACAAAATGGAGAAGTCGTTCGTCTTCTTCACGTTTTGTCGGTACATTTCCAACGTTTTCTCGGCGCTAAGCAAGGACGCATTGTTGCCCACGGCGGACCGTAGCTGCGAATTGTCGAAGGTGATGGGTGCCGGGGCCGGCTGCGGGTAGGGCACGTTGAGCAATTCCGCGAACGAAGACGGCCGTGTCTCGGGGGATTTTCTCGAGTGCGCAGAGGGCGCCCGAACTTGTGAGCCACCCAAGAAGCCAGGGGAACGCCCGCGCGGTCCAAAGTCGGAGTACACCGAATAAGCCGACTGCGGCCGCGGTAGCGAGCTCCTCCTGTTGAAATTGGTGGTTGGCGTTAGGTGGCGGTTGATGTTGGCGGCGCCCTCGGCTAGGTTCGGGTTTGACTGGGCTCTTGGGTCTTGGGCTACCGCCACGCTGGCGGGGCGTGGCAGGAAGGCGGAATGGTGATATTGTAGTTGGGGTACAGGTTCGGGTCGGAGAGCGGGGTCGTCGATGACGGAGCTTTCGGCGGAGGCGTCTGCCGAGTTGTCTTGGTTGTCCGAGACATCGAGAATTCCAGAAACCGAGCTTGCGCTCGTCGTGGCCGATGACTCGTTTGACTGCTGCCGTGAGGTGCTGGCAGTGGCATCCGACTCTCTACTGTTGCGGTTCTCTCCTTTCCCCTCGGGCTGGTCGCCCATGCTGAGATTTTCGAGCTGGGAGCTCAAGACGCTGGCGGACTGCGGCGCAACGGGCTGTTCGGTGCCACTCGATGCAGGCCGCAAACCCAGGGCATCTGGGACGGAACTATGCATATACCCGGTCGCGGGCTGGTATAAAGGCGTATGCGGCGGGGGCGTTGGAGCGTCGGGGGTTTTGGGTAGAGCACGGTCGAGGGCCGGGACCGGAACAGGCTGGCCGTGTGGCAGATGTTGCTCGATGTTCCCGGTGGACGGCCGGGCCCAGTCGCTCGGTTGGAAATTCACCTTAACTGGTGACACGGGAGACTGTCGTAACCTCGGCGAGTCAGACACAGGGGCACCGGGCAGAGGCTTGACGTTCTCTCCCCAGTCGTAGCGTTCGGCGGGCGACAGGGCATGGTGAGTTGGAACAGGTTTCCGACGGGGACTGCTGGGCGAGGTTGGCGCAGAGGGCGGTGGAGAGCCGACGGCCGCCATTGCGGGCGGTCAAATGAGTGGCGTCGCCTGAGAGAGCTGGGTATGCGCCGGATGATGGCGGCGGCGTTGGTCGGCGGGCCGAGTGAGTGAGGTAGTGGATGCTTGTTTGAGACTTTTCAACACCCAGGGGGGGCTTGACTGGGTTGGTCCCTTAGGTAGGTGGGGAGAGGGGAGAAGATCAGGCTGGGGTTACGAATACTGCGGTTGTTTGTACCCCCTCTCGCGCATGCATTTACGAAAGGGCTGGCCGGGTTGCTCTTCCGAAAAGGGCGAAGTCTGGTTTCGGGCTTGCGATGCTTCCACCAAACCTGGCACGGCGGAGATCGCAAGGAAGCTGCGGGCGGTAGGTTGCAGGAGAATACCGGCAGGGCAGGCGCTGTACGTGCGTGCAGTACTAACGAATGGCAGCAACGAAGGCGGCAGCGAGAGGACGGCGACAGAGATGACCCAACTAGAGAAAAAAAAAAAAGAAATAACTAAGACTCAGCGAGCGTCAGGTTGAGATGTGCTGGAGAGGGAATTATGGAAGTCGGGGGTCTGCTACCGAACGAAAGCGATACAGTACGAGTCGAGGAGGAGGAGGAGATGGACGGCTTACCGATTCCAGCATTGGAGGTGGATCGGCGAGAGAAGTCGGCAGCTGTGGGACTCTCCGCCCACTGGATGGCGTGGATAGATGGGTGGGCTGTTGGTGGGTGTGGCCCTGCTGCAGAACGGACTGACGGTGTGAATCTGCCCCCGAACATGCAAGCTAGCGCGCGCTGCTGAAAAACCCTGCTGGGGGTGACAGCACTAAAAAACGGGGCCTGGCTGGGAAACGAGAGGTTGGAAGGCACCAGGGCCGTCTTGGGAGCGGCCTGAGAATCATTTCTCTCCACTCTAAACTCAGCTAACTATGGGGCGCCTGGGATTTCCCATCTCCATCCTTCCAGTTCCATTGTCGAAGGGTGCCCCTCTTCCCTGGAAGTTCCAGGTGTTGGCCTTTTTTTTGATGCAAACGTTCCACATTGGGCAAACTGCCGTTTCATCCAACCGCCTCTTCAACGTTTCTCCATCAAAAATATCTACCCTTCCGGAGATGTGTCGTACGCATGCATACCCAGCTCACCCAGTACATGTATGGACATACAGCACGCATCGCGCAATTCGGAGGAAGGCTGCGCTCAGCGCCCAAAACGGGGCAAGCATTCACTTGCACGGTCAAAACTGCGGGTTTTTTACCCGCTTAGGCCGCTGCATTTGGTTGGGCGGTGAAAGGAGCGTTTCCCATGTTTCACACCCATCCGATCCAGAGAACACCAGATCAGCCTCGTACTTCCGACCTATCTCAAGTGACCCCATGCCACAAGCGCTGCGTCTGTCATACGGAGTGTGAATAGCAATGGGATGCTGATAAATATGCTTAACACGAAGAAGGCATGGAAGATGCAAAGTACCCCTACTCGGATACTCGGCTCTTTCCACCCACACCAAGTGTCCCCCCGGAGGTTCACCATCTCCAAATTGTGGGGGTCGCTGTTGTCAGAGATCTCAGTCTACCTAGCGCCGGGCCAACCCACGGCTGGAAACAACAATTACACAGTACAGGCGTAATTGACGCCGAAATGCGGCTGGGGCTTCGACGCCTCAATGGCTAATTCAGACTGGTTCCCTATCCATCAGCTTGCGCGTTGCCCTTCTTCGTGCGACAAAACGCCACCCACCACTCCCTTCAAAACAAGCCAGGCAGACCATGTCGTGGCACCGCATGGGGCAGCAATGGTTGGCCAGTCTTCGCCCAGCAAGTCGAACACAACAAGCCGCTCCCGCCAGAGACAAATTCGGTAATGTTGGCGAAGAAAGGTCTGTGAGGGGGGGAAGCGAACAATGCAGGAGACGGACCAGCCAGGCACGCCAGGACAGAATCTTCCAAACCAAGGGTCCAACCCTGCGATCGAAAATGTTGCCCATTGGGTTCTTTCGATGACTTCATCCCGAATCAGGCCCAGCGTGTGTCCCTCTCAGCCCCGCAGATCGTCCGGACTCGTCACCGGGCCCACGTTTGCGGGTTTCGGGACAGGAATGTTGTGGCTTGTCTTCCAACCAGGGGCAAGACCAACTAACGAGTCCGATGAAGATTTTGGTGCCCGTGTCTCAACTTTTTTTTCCTCTCCAAGGCCGCATCCGTCCTCTTCCTCTCCGGACACCGCCTATTGTGTGCGACCGGACAAGGCTGGATCTCCAAGATAGCGCGGCTCGGGCGGACCTGAGGATCCACGCCGTTGTCTCCCGCGGCAGGACGCCAGCGCCGACCACACCTCAGCCAATCCAACCACCATTATCAAACGTCATAACTATCGCGCCCCCGCCGTGCCGACTTCACTGGGTCGGAGCGTTCGCAGCATTTTTTTATGTACATGCAGCAAAATCCTCTATTGTGCAGACCACACCACGGTTTGGCCCGACCCCATAACTTTGCAGATATGTCTCCGAGCTTGCCAACTACGCATGCTGGCAAAACGGCATGTCTCATTCATCCATCAAACCTTGTCGATGAGATGATCGTGCCGAGCATCCATGGGATGGATGTGAGGGCGGCGTTGTTGCCCGCTGTTGGTAGGCTGATACATCTGACAGCGCCTGTGCCCCTTGCTTTTCAGGAAGCCAATATTCGCGAGCGGCGAGACGCAGTTCAACACCCAACTAAGCCCCAATCCTCTGCCGAACATACCGAACGCTCGACGTAAATGTTAGGGATGACTTTGCCACGGCGACTTTTAGATCAGGATAACCGGGCGTTGTCTGAGTCGGTCACACATCGTGCGTCTCTCCGATGCCGTGGTAGGCTTACCAAGTGCAACTCAAGGTAACGATGCGCTAGGATCGCCGCGTTACCTCCCACGCAATGGGTTCCGCTGTTTCGGGCCGCAGCCATTTGTGGTTCGGCCAAGCCCATGGTTGCGGTGGCCGAGAAGTTCGTGTCTCGTGGGAACACACACCCGCGAGACACGGTACGAAGTATTCGTAGACCAACATCATCCGGCCGTCATCGGGTTGTTACGAACACGAGATGATACAGGAGTGCTCGGATGAACGGCCTGAACCAGGAGCAGCCTTCGATTTTACCCCGCGGTACTTTGTAACTAGGGTAGCAAAGTCCAGTCAATAATCCCTAGCGTGAACCTACCACGAGAGCCGCCTAATAAAACAGAGCGGATATGCGCCGAAAGTTGAGCAGCACAATCAATGTGCAGCCTAACCAAATCGCAGAACCCGATCTGTCGGGATCGGGTTTGCGCATATTGAAAGCGCGTGGCGTTTTGGCAAATGCAGCATCGTTACCAGTGTGGGCCGGGCTGCCGGGCACCGTCTGGCCGAAAAAGGCCCAGCTCGAAAGGAGAGCAAGCAACCAACCAAGAAAAGAAAAGAGGGGATAGAAGAAATAGCGGAAATAACTACAATTGCTTCGGGTCCTTGGATGGGTTTTGTTTCGTTCCTACAATCGAGACTTGGTCAATATCTACAAGTACACTTAGTTGTAAAGCCCTGCTCTTTTTGCTCATGGAGTGCCAGGGTCCAGAAGCTGGCTGATGTCACTGGTGTTTGCGATGTGAAAATAGCGCCGGAAAGGGTGGAGGGTTGCATGGTTCAACGGGAGGTGGAGAAAAACTGTGCATCAAAATCGAAGGTGGCGACCACCCAGCCGCCCGGGCCTTGGCATTTCTCTCGTCGCAATCAAACTGGGAGCTGCCGATACGAGAAACAGAAAAGGAGGAATCTGGGGACGACCAAGCGCTGGCGGGCAGAAAATGTTCCAAATCCGAGATTGCCGCTCGAGATACGGACGACTTGGGGCAAAAAGCCAGCTCGTATGCGCTTGTTGATGAACTCGTGGGCAATTTGGTAAGAAATGCCTTGTTTTGAAAGAATGGAAAAATCAATTTGAACCTGACACAGCCCCCCCAGTCCCCATGTATCCGGTTTTCGTTTCCACGTGTAACCCTAACCCACATCTACCCCCATTAAGTGCCAAGGCAGGAGGTTGATCACAGTGAGGAAAACAATCTCCAGGGGTAAACGCACGGTATCTCTGGTCACCCCTGAATCTGAGGGCGTCCAGATCCTTGAATGCCGGCTTGCTTGCGATCTCATCAATCTTTCTTCTTCGAGCGTCGCGACCATGCCTCGCTAGTGCTGAAGGTCTGATACTTCTGTCGCTCGTTTGGCTCTGCCGCACTCCGTTCTTTCGCCTTTCGATTGCTTTGCCGCTTGTTGGCTGCCACTTCCATCCCGGAGCTGCCTTGTCCTCAGTTCTTTTTCGCAACAACACCAGGCCCCGTCTTTTGATTTGTGCAGCAGGAAGCGGGAAGCGGGAAGCGAGGGGGATCGATCGTCTCCCGATTGCCGTTGCCCTTGAAACCGTTGCTAAATTCCATGCCGCGCCCTTCTACACAGTACACCCGGAGCAACTCGGTTTCTTCAAATTGTCGTTCTATTGCAATCAACCTTCAACCTTCGTCTTCTCATTGTCATCGGGCAGGAACCACCTGCACCTGCGCCGCTGCACCGCCGATGCAACTTGGGAGGGCCTCGAAATCGTAGCCTGGACGATACGGAACATTTGACCGAGCGTGCCTTCCTTGGCTGTGGCCAGGTGCAAGCGCCGCGCTATTTTTTTTTTGGCAGTCAGCACTCCACGGGACATTTCTGAGTGGCCCCAGTTCTCGCTCCGCCCGTCTCCTGAGAGACCTGCCCTGAATCCTCCCCGCCAACCCAGGTACTGCAGCAAACACCAGCCAGCACCTGGGCAACAGCCTGGAGAGGAGGGCCCATCCACGCCAAAACTCATCCGACTCCATCCCGTCCCCGGCTGCTCTCCAAAACAAGCGCCGTGCACAGTAGGTTGATTTCTACCTTTATTGATGCCAGCGGTGCCAGCATTTAGTGTTTTCAGCTTCCCTAAGAGGTGATTGGGCTCGATACCTCGCCTCGACAACAATACCGCGTTGTACCGTGTTCATCCCAACTTGCGTTTCTGAGGCGGCCGTTAGCGGAGACCCCGATCACATTGGGTGAAGTCCCTGCTCGGCCACGCCAGGTCGCAAACCTCCTGACCCTGAGCGCGATCGCTAACACGGGACGATTACCAGGATCATGTCACTTCCTCAAAGACCGGGCGCGACGCCCTCGTACGAAGAACGGCACAGCTACCGACAATCGCAATCGCGACGCCAACAGCGTCCCGCCGATGTCGAGGCCGGTGGTTATGTCCCGGTCGGCGCTGGGCAGTCACTCCATCAACGTGGGCCATCAGCATCCTCTTTCGCCGAGACAATTACGTCTCCTAATCCGGAAATAGAGAGAACCCCCCTGTCGCCAACATCACCCCACGCGCACCCGCCAGACTCGCCCTTCCAGCGCAAGAGGAGTCTGGTCAGGCCGGAGCGGAATAGGATAGGGAAAGACCATCCAAATTATCACTACCGGAAACATGCGGCGAACATGAACACGTTGCCGTCCTCGACGGGCAACGACCCTATTGCGGAGGACCTAGAAGGGACAACCGACTTGTCTAATTCCGGTTCGAGGAACGACGAGGTTCTTACGGACGCCACGCCACCACCAAGGAGGGTCCGTTCAAAAAAGCACCGCAGTGTTGAGACTGAGAAACCAGGCCGGACGAGGCGGAGGGCGTCGAGCGCCGCGAAACACGGCAAGATCACGAAAGATTCAAAGCGCCAGCGGCAGCAGGACGAACAGTTGCGACCGCCAAGTCTCTGGAACATCTACTGCTCGATAATAACGTTCTGGTGCCCGGGTTTCCTTCTCAAGTGCTTTGGCCTACCCGCCAAGGCCCAACAGAGGGCATGGAGAGAAAAGATGGGTCTCATCAGCATAATCCTGTTCATCATGGGCGTTGTCGGCTTTCTCACATTCGGCTTTACTCAAGTCGTCTGTGGATCGCCCCCATTACGACTGCGGGTGAACGAGGTCGACAGCGGTTTCATGATTTTCCACGGATCCGCCTACGACTTGACGGGATCCCACCATCCCCTGGCTGAGGGAATCCCCCTTCGCCAAGACAAAAGCGGCGCCAACGTGCTGTATGACCTGCCAGAAAAGCACGGCGGGAAAGACGGAAGTTTTCTGTTCCAGAATGTCAACGGCAAGTGCAAGGGGCTCATCACAGCAACGCCGAACTCAAACATTCCGACAGACGCGAGCGGCAGTTTGGCCTGGTATTTCCCCTGCACAACCTTCAACCAGGACGGTTCCTCGCGACCCAATATGACGAGCCCATACTACCTCGGCTATGCCTGCCACACTAGCGCCCCTGCCCGAGACTCGTTCTACCTAGGACTCAGCGGTGCTGCCGATGTTTACTTCACCTGGGACGACATCAAGAACAGCTCCCGCAACCTGGTTGTCTATTCCGGTAACGTTCTCGATTTGGATCTGCTGTATTGGTTCGATGATTCTCAAGTCACATATCCCGCGCGCTTCAAGGAGCTGAGAGACACCGACTCGGCGGCAAACCAGGCCATCCGAGGCCGCGATATCACACGCGCCTTTCAATCCTCTGGCGATAAGCAGTATGCCGAGTGCTTTGAGGAGATCCTCAAGGTCGGAACCATCGACACGGACACTGTTGGGTGCATTGCGTCAAAGGTTGTTCTCTACCTTTCACTCGTTTTGATTCTTTCCGTCGTGGTCGCAAGGTTTGTGCTTGCTATTGTCTTCCAATGGTTTATCAGCAAGACCTATGCCGCGTCCAAGACCTCGCAGACGGCGGACCTGCGGAAGCGCAACAGGCAAATTGAAGACTGGTCCGAGGACATCTACCGGGCTCCCCCCCGCATGCCGGGTGACATTGGGAGCAGCGTCAATGGCTCCTCCGATAGGCAAAGCAAGCGCAGCAGCACCTTCCTGCCCACCACATCCCGGTTTTCGGCTGTCTACGGCAACGAACGTGGCAATAGGAGGTCTGGGGTTCCCACCACCATGGCAAGCCAGACCGCGGCCGGTCAGCTGCTCAACCCCAACATGATGTACCGGCAAGGTAACGACAGCCGGTCAAGCTTCCTCAAATCGGATCCGTATGCTACTAGCAACAGCCCCACTGATGGACCGGGACCTGCCGGCTTTATTCACGAAGCTGTGGTCCCCCAACCCCCGTCGGACTGGGTGCCCTTCGGCTTTCCCCTAGCCCACGCCATCTGCTTGGTGACTGCCTACTCGGAAGGCGAGCTCGGCATTCGGACGACCTTGGATTCTATCGCCATGACGGATTACCCTAATAGCCATAAGGCGATTTTGGTCATTTGCGACGGTATCATCAAGGGCGAAGGGGAAACATCTTCGACCCCGGACATTGTCCTGAGCATGGTGAAGGATCACAGCACGCCTCCTGAACAGGTCGAAGCATTCTCGTACGTTGCGGTCGCTAGCGGTTCGAAGCGGCACAACATGGCCAAGATTTACTCGGGCTTCTACGACTACGGCGCCAAGTCCGCAATTCCCCTGGAGAAGCAGCAGCGCGTTCCCATGATGGTGGTCGTGAAGTGCGGGACTCCGGATGAAGCGACTAAGTCGAAACCTGGAAACCGCGGCAAGCGTGACAGCCAGATCATTCTGATGTCTTTCCTCCAGAAGGTCATGTTTGACGAGCGGATGACGGAACTTGAGTACGAGATGTTTAACGGACTCTGGAAGGTCACCGGTATCTCGCCCGACTTTTACGAGATCGTACTCATGGTGGACGCCGACACAAAAGTCTTCCCCGACAGTCTGACGCATATGATTTCTGCCATGGTCAAAGACCCCGAGATCATGGGGTTGTGCGGCGAGACAAAGATCGCGAACAAGCGGGCCAGCTGGGTCTCGGCTATCCAGGTCTTCGAGTACTTTATTTCTCACCACCTCGCCAAGTCTTTCGAATCGGTCTTTGGTGGTGTCACCTGCCTTCCCGGATGTTTCTGCATGTACCGGATCAAGGCGCCCAAGGGCGCTCAGAACTACTGGGTTCCGATCCTAGCAAACCCGGATGTGGTCGAACACTACTCGGAGAACGTGGTTGATACACTGCACAAGAAGAATCTTCTCCTGCTCGGTGAGGATCGGTACCTCTCGACCCTGATGCTTCGGACTTTCCCCAAGCGCAAGCAAGTCTTTGTGCCGCAAGCTGTGTGCAAGACGACGGTGCCGGACACGTTTATGGTGCTACTCTCGCAACGCCGTCGGTGGATCAACTCGACCATCCACAACCTGATGGAGCTTGTCCTCGTCCGGGATCTGTGCGGCACATTCTGCTTCAGCATGCAGTTCATCGTCTTCATCGAGCTTATCGGTACCCTTGTTTTGCCCGCCGCCATTGCATTCACATTTTATGTTGGTAAGTTTTTGGCAAAGCCTGGTCCCAGCCCCAAGTTTATCCGTACCGAAGCTAACATGAGTTTCTTTCCAGTCATCATTTCCATCATCAATTCGCCCCCGCAAATCATCCCCCTCATTCTGCTCGGTCTGATTTTGGGTCTGCCAGCGGTCCTGATCGTCGTGACAGCGCACAGCTGGTCGTACGTCGTGTGGATGTTTATCTACCTGCTCTCGTTGCCCGTTTGGAACTTTATTCTGCCGACGTATTCGTTCTGGAAGTTTGATGACTTCTCGTGGGGCGACACAAGAAAGACGGCGGGCGAAAAGACCAAGAAGGCTGGCATCGAATACGAGGGCGAGTTCGACAGCAGCAAGATCACGATGAAGCGGTGGGCCGAGTTCGAGCGTGACCGCAGGACCCGCAACAACAGCTACTGGGGCTCGACGGAGAATATCGTCGGTGGGGGGAGCCAACAAATGGGTCATGGACCGTACGACGGTTACTACTCGGATCAGTGAGCCTGAGGTGGCTTGTTTGGAAAGCCTTGCTTTTTTCTTTCAATTTGGGGCGCTCGCCTGTTTTCCCTCTCTCTTCGCCCCGCTTCCATCCCGCCGATGTTTTTACTTGGCTATGATCTTTTGAGTTTCGGAGGGATGCAAGAGCATCCTGGTGGCGCACATTCGGCTCTTCCCGACGTCTTGGTTTATGATAAGCGTTGTTGTATATAATTGCGCGAAGACTGTAGTACGCTGTTAATAATTTTGAATTGCTCAGACTTCCTCCAGCGTATACCCTGTGGGCTTCGATACTGCCAGTCGAATGAGGCTGAAAAAGCCAAACGTTTCAGAGAAAGTTTGTGGCACGCGAGAATAAGCTTCCCGACAAATATAGGGGCCTCCCGTGTGTAGAGGGTCCTTTGCGCGGATTACCAGCCAGCGTTGGATACTCATTGATGCGAGGTATCGGGCCAGGACGCGTTTGACAGCCCAGCCGGGGAGATCAACGGATCTTGCATTCTTTCATGACAATCTCGCTCTCCTATCCACAGGAAGGAAGTCAGCTCGCACACTCGCTCGCAAGCCACTCCTGGATGTGATGGGACCGGCACTTGTGGGATCTGTGGGGTTCTGCAAGTCAGCCCTCACGATACTACCGTGTCCTCCCTTCGGGAACGATGGTGCGAGGCACAAGGCTTTGCATTCATGTACGAAATACATACATACATCCATGGTTATCTTCTTGCTATTGTATGAGCCATCTCCAGGGTCGGGTTGGGTATCAGTGTAACATAACTCACCCCCATCTCCCATTATCAGCAATTTTTCCCGACTCGCGTCTGATATCTGTTCCCCCGGGCCAGCTGAGTGTTCGCTCTTCACTTTCTCGGGCCGTGAAAACCGCGAGTGGGAGCCCGAGACGCCACGGACGCCACCATCACAATCCGGACGAGCACCTGTTTCCCAATCGGTTGGCAGCGACAGCCGGTGAGAGGGAGGAGCAAGCCCCCAAGCAGCCACCTAGGGCTTGGCCAACGTGGGAAAGGGGGAGGATGCAGCTCGCCACGAAAGCTTGCTGCGCGCAGGCTCAAAGCCATTTTGTGACTGATCGCGTCGAATTGGCAAAGACATGAATGATCCAATCCGAGACGACAGAAGGACTTGCAGACAGCCGACGGGATCACGGCAACGGGCACAACCCATCCACGCACTGCTTACTTCCACGGGAACCACCACTGACCATCAACGGGGGGTTTCTAAGTTCGGAGGGACCTATCGTCCGGGGCCAGTCATGCTCGCCCACCCGGAGCACCTGAAGGATCATGTGTCCCTCAATCTCACGTCCGTCGCAAAGTGCGGTTGCAAGGAAAGGAAGGGAAGCGAAGCCGTGTGTCCAAGACGGCGGATGCAGGGCGACGAGTTTGGGGGAGGTTGGATGCAGGGTGTGTGGCGCCAAGGGTGTCTCTGGCACCAGTTCCGCATTCACCCACACCACCCATTGCCCGACCTGAAGCCCCGAATCGGCACCCCGCATGCAGCTTGTGCCTCAAGAACTCGACCAAGCCGAGTCGGGACGGCGTGAATGGTGGTTCAGGCTTTGTGGACAGACGGTTCCCGTTTCGTGGCGAGCGAGGTGGACTTTTCGTATAGTCAGCTGGAATAATGCTGCTATAGGAAGTGGACTCGGTTTAAGTTCAATGGCATTGTATTCAAGTTGACCTCGCAACTAGGTACCTAAGCTACGTAACGGAAGGAACGACAACAATTAAAACGGAACTTCCGTCTCGGAAGGCTCGCGGGAAAAGAAATCCCTTGAACCTATCCCGCCTTCCCTTGCCTTGACTTTCCTTCCTCTTCGGTACATACATACAGTGCAGTTGCGGATTCCCGCCATGCATCCACACTGGCAGCGTGCTGAACCCCCCACCCCCGCAGCCCTAAGGTGATTCGCTGTCGACTCGTCACTTGGTCCGAATTTGGAGCGATGGAAAGGCAGCGCAGCGCAAGTCAGACTGAGCCCGAGCTCATCCCGAGTCAAATCGGCCTTGCTCTTGCCCCTATATTTTTTCTTCCTTGATACAAAATATTTTCAAAGGAAAAAAAAAGACGCAATTCAACACTTGAGGGGGCCGTTTGTGCCGTCTCCGAGTTACAAACGAGTTACAAACCGGGTCGGACCTTCATCTCCAAGCGGGAACTCGGCAAATCGACAACAACCTGGAACTTAACCAGGGTACAGTTGGACTGAGACCACCCCCACTCACGGCGGGTGGACTTGTGGACTCAGTTGTTGTGGACTTGCCGTCACTGGTGAGGCGGCTGGGCGGACATCTTGGGACCGCTTCGCCCCTCAACTGTATTCAGGTCGGGCCTCACTGCCCAACTCACTAGCCCGTGCCGACAGCAACTGGACCCGCCCAGGGCATCCCGCCGATCAAAAAAGGGAGTGAGCTGGACTTGAAGAGACAAAACAAAACCGGCCTGGGTGGGTGAGAGTGAGAGTGAATCAAGAACACACGCCGTCGAGCCGATGCAGCCCAAGGGCCGGCCGCCGTCCATCTCACCGCATCATCCTAACACTTAGTTATTCCTCGCTGGCCAGCATGCCGATCATGGCGCCTCTACCTGTGGGTTCCTCTCCGCACCCGCACGACGTGTCCCGCAGACTCGGGCCCCTCACCAACACATCCCTGGCCTCTTCCACGCAGGCAACCCCCACTCACGAGGACAGTGGCGGTGATGGAAACGAGGTGATGATCTATACCCTCGACGACGCCGACGACGAGAGTCAGGGCCATATCGACACATTAAACGATGGGGAGAGTGAAGACGGGGGACAGGAAGAGGACGATAATGACGACGCCGATGATGCCTACGACGAAGAGGACGAAGAGAGCTTATACGACCCGGCGTACCATAACTGCCCCATCCATTATCAGCAATCCCTCGTTCACCACGAATCCCTCTACTACCAAGACCCGGATACCTACCTCTCGGACGACGAGGTAATGTCCGATGACGCTGGCGCACCATTGACGGACCATGTGGCTACCCAGCACCCCGCCGATAACATGGATGTGGATGTACCCGCAGAGGTCGAGTTTCCATGGGACGACGACGACGACGGCAGCAATCCGGAGTTTGATATCATGACCCCCAATCCGGACATGGTCGCCGACGCGCAAGCGGCGGCAATGGAAGTCCATACTCAAGCCACCGCCATTCTGAACACAGCGCCGTTTGTCGGCCTTACCTGGGAACAATTTCCACCAGGAGCCACCTGGACACACGCTTTTTCTGTTCCAAATTCGAATCCTGCTACCATCGGGCCGTCAAATTATGGCCTAGCCGATTTCCTTCACCACTGGGCACGTCACAGCCGAACTTTTCCAGGCACGGCTCGGGGGGGTTGTCCCTGGCCGGCCAGCGTCAACGCACTCCAATCCTCCGGAGATGAATTAATCAAGTATGACGATCTGGAAGGGGACCGGTGCGATTTCCAGGGGGTTGACTGGGAGGACATCGGGGTCGCAAGGAAGGATGCCCGAGAGCGCCGGTTCCTGACATACAGCAACTACGTGAACAAACCAGGTTCGGATAAGTGGACGGTAAGTACAGAAGGCTGTCTATCCTAGTTGCTTGGTTCTGCAAAGGAAGAGACTTACCCGTGCCACAGCCGAACCTCCCAGACGCTGTTCTCCCACGTAATGAGAGCTTCTTTCGGTTTCGTCGCATGGACATCAAGCGGAACATCCACTTGTCGCACTTCCAGCTGCGCAACGTGTTTGCAAGCACTTCGCGTTCACGCGTCTTTTATCCCGCCCTCGGCACCATCCAGCAGTTCAATCCCATGTCCGGCCATGGCCGCGCTATCATGGAACTCAGCGACGCGCCTGCTTCCCAAGTGTCGACGTTGGCCGCTGGTCAGGGCGTTCTAGTCGCGGGTGGCTTTAGTGGTGAATACATGCTTCGCCATTTGGACTCGTGTGAACCAGAAAGCACGGCTTGTCACGAAGGTGTCATCACCAGCAGCATCAGCGGTATCACGAACCACGTCGCCGTCCACCAGGCGCGGATTTCCTCCGCCCCGCGGGCGGACTTTGCATCCAACGACAACTGCTTCCGTGTCTTGGATCTTACCACCGAGACCTGGGTGTCGGAGGAGACGCATGACTTCGCGCCCAACTGTGCCGCCCTGTCGCCCGACGGACGGCTCCGCGTCATGGTAGGGGACAGTCTCGACGTCATCATTACGGCCGCCGAGTCGTCGCGCCCAAAGGGCGAACCAGACGTTCTGCAAAGGTTATCCGGCCACCGCGACTTCGGTTTTGCTTGCGACTGGGCCGACGACGGATGGACTATCGCCACGGCGTTCCAGGACAAGACTGTCAAGATATGGGATGCCCGTCGGTTTACCGACAGCGCCGGCAATGCCGCGCCGGTCTGTACCATACGCAGCGAGATGGCCGGCGCGCGGAGTGTGCGCTTCTCGCCCATCGGCAGCGGGAAGCGGGTCCTCGTCGCCGTTGAAGAGGCCGACTTCATCAACATTATCGATGCCCAGACCTTCCGTTCCAAGCAGACGGTCGACGTCTTTGGCGAACTCGGCGGCATCTCGTTTGAGAACGGCGGCCAGGATCTCATGGTGCTGTGCTGCGATCGTTCTCGCGGGGGGATTCTGCAGCTGGAGAGGTGCGACCAGGGAGGCGATCCTACGTGGAATTCGGGTGGTGAACTGGTTACTGATGACTGGCCGCGGTCAATATTCACCAAACATAAGCATACGAACAGGAGCCGGCGACGCATCGCTGCTTATACAGACATGGATCCGTTTTGAGCGCCAGTTGTTAGCACGAGGGGAATATTTCGGCCCGACGCCGTTGCGAACTTCGGTGCGTTTAAACGGCTAAGCAGCCGAAACCCGCACGGCTGAACCGTGAAATGCTAGAGTTCACCCTACCCAGGAGTGTTTGAATCCCACACGACGCGGGTATTCATCGATTATATCCGTGCCTGAGCAAATAACGAGTTGGAATTCGGTCTGAGACCCTACAGATCGTTGCGAAGAACCATGAGAGAGAGTGATAGCCAACCAGATCATACGCTGAAACGGCTCAGGGCTAGTATCTATTTGAATGAAAGGAGAGGTTTGACGGAGCCTTTGTTGTTGGTTGAGTGTATCTCACGCAACCCATGGCTTATGGCCGATATGGGGTGGCAGATACCGGACCAGGCAAATCCAGGACAGAACTGACCGTGGGCCAGGGGCTATCGGGCTCACTAGTGGTTCTTTCGGGTTGGCGGCGGGCCACGCAGAGATGCATGGGATGTAACGTTCGTTACGATGGCGTTCATGGGCAGATTTGGAGTTGCGACAACGATGAGCGGCCCCTTTACGCTCCAGAGTGTGGAGTTGGGGGTACGAGGACCTGCGGGTTGCCTCACGAATCCTTTACGTTTATGATGAAGACGTGGGTGGGGGATATATAACATTTACGTTGGGGCACTATATACGAATCTGCCCTTTTCTTCTTCATCTGTTCTCAACCTTTACGTTTACGTTGTTTCCTGGGATGGCCATATCTTCTGGGTTAGGGCGACGCTGTTTTCAACGTGGGGAAGGCCCGGCTTAAAATAATATCGGGATGCCTACTGTGTGCTTG